CTCCAATAGAGGGTTGGGTCCAAAAAAAAAAAGGACCCACTAGGCCAAGTTTCAGCCCTTTGGCCATCTCTTCTTATATTTGTTTTTAACCGTTCTTCCTGTCTCTGCTTCCTATCATCCATCTCTTCTTATATTTGTTTTTAACCGTTAAATTAGATCTTATTAGATTTTAGTCGTTGGATTCAATGAATTTATAAATATAAAACTAAAAAGAAATACACATATATGATAGGTCAATACACAAACCCGAGGGGAATCTTAGGCTAAATTTGCCCCAAAAGAAGAGTTTAGAGTTAAAACTCATATTTGGCCCAATGATTGGAACAAGTTGGGGTAGGTTTAAAACCTAAAATTTAAGTTTTAGTCTAATAGTTGGGGTAGGTCTTAGATGTGTAAGTTAAATCTGCACTTATGAGGAACCAAACCCGTTTGAATCGGTTCTACAGGGAGCTCACCAAATCTCAGCCATCAGATTGCGGTCTGCACGAATTGTGCGCACCTTAGACGCGCCCTTGAGTGAATCATTTGAACTTGATTTGCTAGGCCTCCACCTAGCCCAATCTAATATTTTGATATACAAGAGATTGGCACAGCCCATATGTAGAATTTTGACCCAATACAAACAACTGAAAGAAAAGAAAAGAAAAACAAACACCGGAAGGAAGAGCTGGAGTGACGCAGAAGAAATCAAGCGACCTATAATTTAGTGTTCTTGTGCGCAAAGCATTTGCACGAACCAAACGATCTCTCTCTCCCTCTCTTTTCAGTTGTCTGTGAAAGCAATTGGATTTCGATTCTGATTTTTGAGAAACCCTAATTCTCCAATGTCGGTAAGTTGAAGATGCAAAGCTTGATTCTTTACTCACACATATGCTGATTAGGGTTTTCGTAATTACCCAACGGGGGATTTTGATTTTTGTTTTCAAAATTTTGGTTGGCAGATCTTCGAGTACAATGGGAGTGCACTGGTCGCAATGGTGGGGAAGAACTGCTTCGCCATCGCCAGCGATCGCCGCCTCGGTGTTCAGCTCCAGACCGTCGCCACCGACTTCAAGAGGATTAGCCAAGTCCATGATAGGCTCTTCATCGGCCTCTCCGGCCTCGCCACGGACGCTCAGACTCTGTACATCTCTCTCTCTTTCTCTCTCTCTCACTCTCTATATTATTTTTGCGTTCTTTCGTGTGATTTTTGGGGATTTTGGTGTGAACTTGAAGGTATCAGAGGCTCATGTTTCGGCACAAGCTGTACCAGCTTCGTGAGGAGAGGGATATGAAGCCCGAGACTTTTGCGAGCCTCGTTTCGGCTATTCTGTATGAGAAAAGGTTTGGAATTTGCTCAAATCTGATCCTTTTTTTTATACGTACTTAGGAAGTTTAATGGGTATTGATTACTTGAGCCTAATGTGATGAGGAACTAAAAGGTTTGTCTTCCTTTTTGTGATTTAGGTTTGGTCCCTACTTCACTCAGCCTGTAATTGCTGGGTTAGGTGATGAAGACAAACCCTTCATCTGTACTATGGATTCAATTGGAGCCAAGTAAGTTATTTTTTGTCTTTCACTCGTTTTCTTTTTCGACTTTCTCATAACTTTTTAGCTGCCCATATGCTAAGGACTTCAAAATTGTTTCTTCATCTTCCCAAATAGGATAAATATTCATGCTTGCTACTTCTATTTTTTTTTTGGTCAATATTCATGCTTGCTACTTCTATTTTGTTTATGTGTTTATGTGGATTTTGCTTCTTGTTGTGATGTTACTTGTGTTCTGTATATGTAGGGAACTAGCAAAAGACTTTGTTGTTGCTGGTACTGCATCCGAGTCCCTTTATGGTGCTTGTGAGGCAATGTTCAAGCCTGATATGGTTAGTTTCTCTATTCAATTTGCACTAGCTTTGTCAATGGTTGGTCAATATTTTATTTGATCTGGTTGTTGTTGCCGTTGATCCACTTATATACTTCTTCAGATATGAGAATTTCAGTTTTAGGTGCTTTAGATATTCTGTTGAATCATATGTCTCCCATATATAATGAACATTCAGGCACGTAACTGTGACATGCTGTCTCAGGCCAGTGTGATTCATATTTAATGGTATAGATGTGTTGTTGCTTTGAGAATGGGGCCATTGAAATCAAGAGAAAAAACAAGCTGGAGATCTCCAATTAGTTGCACCCTTTTGTTTGTGTGTGTGTGTGTGTGTGTTGCTACTACTGAAAGGAGTTGGGGAAGGGGCAATATAATTCAAGGGAAATGCTACATAAATAAAAGCATATATAGAGATAAACAGTTGGCTCCATTGCCAACTGAACTTCAATAATCGTGTAGAGGATTCTGTGGGGCTGAAAATTTATTGCTGTCTGATCGATTAGATCATTGTGATAATGTGTGCTCCTAGTACCGCTAAAATGTCCATCTCCTTTGTTATATTTATTACTAATGAGAACAGCTCTAAGCCTCTTAACAGCAGTTTGTCTACCAATTGTCAATCAGGAACCAGAGGAATTGTTTGAGACTGTCTCTCAAGCATTGCTTTCATCAGTAGATCGAGACTGTCTGAGTGGTTGGGGAGGCCACGTCTTTGTCGTGTAAGCCTTACATTCTCTGTACTTATTCAGATATTCTTATCACGCAATTTCTATACAAACAGTGTTATAAATGAAGATAGGTGTGTACATAGAGAGCGAATGTCTCTTGAAGCAATGTAAGATTCTATTGTTCCTTTTGTCATTCATTCTTTAAGATGCTGGTATAGGATTCGAATCATTTATTCCATCTCTTTGCCTGCCAAATAAAGCAAGTAGCTATATATACTTCAGCTGAACATGATATCGGGGAAATAATTGTGAAACACTGTAACATTGTGCTTTACATAATATGATTAATGCTATGTGAAATCGAGGAATGTTGTTTGTCCTGAAGGTTAAAGCTACATTGTCGTGACCAGTGGCTACTCTTACCATAACATTTGGATTAGTTATCATGTTGGTGATACAGTAGAGCGTAAATAAAACCTAATTCCATAACTGGTTAACATTATTTGGAATCTCAGGAATCAATTTCTTTGGTGGTTTGTTGTTGATTTTTCCTTGATGTTTTTTATATCCTTAATCTCCCTATGTTACGACTTCACAGTAATTAAGATTTGTGAGGGTCATTTAATTCCATCCATTTATGTGAGAAGTAACACTAGCCGTTTTGACACGTGCATTCATTTTTCTGCAGAACACCAACTGAAGTGCAGGAGAAGATCTTGAAGGGAAGGATGGACTGACCTCGCTGGCATGCCTTTTAGTGAATCCTCCTGGCATTTTGTTCAGGCTGCATCTTTTCCTCAAGTGTTTATGTAGCTTTGACGTGAATGAGGAGACATAAGCATTCTTGGCGATCATCGGCCCCTTGTTATGTTTTGATTTAATGTACTTTGACGAGTATAGACAGTGGGATCATAGGTCACTTGAAGAAAATGCCGGGAATTCAAATATGTTTCAGTTGGTACGATCATGAATGTTTCTAAACAGTTTTCGAATTTATCCAGATGTATTTGCTGTTTCTAAGCATTATCTCGAATTTATTCGTGGTGCGTATTCGAAACACATGATGTTACTCTCTTGTGTTCAGTTCCGTTTCGTAGAGGTGGTGCTATGGTGAAAGACATGCTGTTAACCAAAGTCTTGCGTTACGTGTTAATCGGTACCGGATAAGCTCGATATTTATTTTCGTTTTTAGACGTAAGCAAGGCATTGGGAGAGGGGTAATCGAGCTTGAAACTCGGGTGTAGGGGGTGGAGGCTCCTGACCAACTGAGCTACAAGGTCCATGAGAGCATTGTTTTGGGGAGAAACTTGATATTTTTATCAGGAATGGATAAGTCTGGCGTCTATTCAGCATCTCTTTCACAACATTCTCAACTAGTTCAATGGAAGTGTCATCGCTACGCTTGTGGCATACGCAAGTCAGTGGTAGCAAATAAGCATATTCCTTCACCCAGCCACCGTTTTACACGAACATTATTATGCTATACATCATAGACCCATATGGGATTGGTTGAATTCTTTTGACCTGTTTACTTCGAATATCGCAACGGAAAAAATTTATGTGGATCTCATGTTACATTGCGTAATATACAATACTCAATGTTTAATATTTTTTCGATATGAGATATTTTCATGGAAGTATAAAAAACAAATCAGAGAAATATATGGAAATGGGGGAAGTCTAAATTTCACCTCATATCGGACAAACTCTTAAGTTTAGGCTAAAATCGACAGATATCGTCGGTATTTCTGACACATTTGTTAAATATTGGAGAGTCTCTTATATTTTGTCCAAACCAATGTTTGATAATTCTTAAAATTTCATCTTAAATTTCCATCATTTCCATCGAAAGCAACCGATATCAATTTCGACATATCCGTCGTTATTTCCACAAATTTGCATGTCGATATTTCCACAAATACCGATATTTTAAACACTAACGATACTTGAACCTTTTATAATTAGATTGTCTTCTCTCCTCTATTCACGAGTTCCTCCCGTTTCACATTAAGTAGACATGAAGAAACCTTGAATCAACCCATGAAACCAAGAACACAAAGGTAATCTCGCACAATTTCTTAAACGAAAACAAAAGATAACACTGAAACAGTTTTCGGTCTAATCGCTTGTTCTTCTACTACGAGAGTTGTGTTAGTCTTTAGAAATAGAAAATCACTTTATGATTAAAGGCCTTCTGCTAATCATCTGCTTAATTAACCTCATAATTAATTATTCTGGGGACCATGGATGTGTGTATGAACAAGTTGACAAGAGGATTGTCTTTGCCCAGCGGAGAGGGAATTGCCGATTACGTTGGGCACACGTCACAATCTAGGAGCCCAAAATTTTGGACTAAGAAGTTGTAACTTATGGGAGATCATTCTCTTTGGCACACGACTTTGAACTAGGAATCTGGAATACTTGTATCCATGAGGAATAGGTTTCCCATTGCTTCCAAGGGACGTTGCCTTTTCTCTCAAGAAACCTCATAAAAATAATCCAATAGTTTCCCCTCATATATCTCGAATGAACCTGGTTTTTGACACTGCGTTTCTGGAAGAGATTGATCGTAGTTTTCAATGGACGGAGAAGAAGAACGAGCCAAACAATCTTCCCAGAGGACCCCTTTCACCGAACTCAACCAAGTGAGCGCGGATTTCATTCTAGCCATGGCTATGCAAGAGCAAGAGCAGGCCTACACAATGCTCGAAACCATAGAAAGCGATAGTGAAGAAGACGATGCTGAAATTGATGATGCTTCTTCGTCCTCTAATGAAAACTATGATCCAGACAATGCTGCTTTCTCCCAAAGCAGAGAATTTGATGCTGGTGATTTCAGGTTTCTTGAGGACGAAGAAATTGGCAGCAGCAGCAGCAGCAGTAGCGACCAAGAAATGGATGATTTGGACGTGGATGAACTAACTTATGAGGAATTGTTAGCACTTGGAGAGTTCATAGGGGAAGAAAAAAGAGGACTTCCCAGCAGTGAGATTTCTACATGTTTGCATCCCTACACCTGCAAATTAGCGGTCGATCAGAGCGAGACTAGCATCGATCGATGCGTGGTTTGTCAGATCGAATATGAAGATGGTGAATCATTAGCTGCATTGTCCTGTGAACACCCTTATCATTGGGAGTGTATAAGCCAATGGCTTCAGATTAAAAAGAGTTGCCCTATTTGCAGCACAGAAGTTTCATCACCATCCTCATCATCCAAGACCAAGAATTTATAAATAATTAGGGTTATGCATTTCATTTTATTTTATGGGTTTGATTGCAAAGTGTAAATGTACAAAATTTGTGTTTCAGTTATAGGTAATTAGTTGGAATTTGGTAATGAATGGTGTAATTAGTTGGAATTTGGTAATGAATGAAGAAATAAAAGACCATAGGATATCCTTTATCAATAATTTTCTCTCTACACTGAAATAATTTTTGTAAAACTTTGCATATTGAGGTTGCAAGTTGCAAATAAGGCCCAGTTTGGCTTTTTTTTTTTTTTTTTTTCACAAAAGCTACTTCATTTTAAAAGTGAAACAGTAAAAAATATTTGGTAAAAATTAAATATTCTGCTTAGTTTAAAAGTAATGGCCTTCATACAGCAACATCTGCTTTAATAAAAACTAGAGTTAAGCTTTTAATTAATATTTTTATTTTTTGTAATACGCTCATTAATTTCAAAAAATGCATTATTTATCCTTCTAGACACATTTAATCCTTGTAGAACAAAGCAATGTTCTAAAAACTTCCACCTTAGCGCTAGGCAGCTGGTCATCGCCCCGATTAATGTCTAGATGTTTGAAAATTAAGAAAGGTCACCTACCACTACAAACCTTACCTCTTACATCACCATTTCCATTAGCACCACCATTGTTGCCGCTTCCACCGCACCATTATAAACACAATCGCAACCATTGCCACCGCAACCGCCACCACAACCCCCAACATCGTTGTTGTCGTTGCCCCTACCACCATTGTTACCTCTGCAGCCCAACTACCACACCACATCATTGGCACCATCACAAACCATGGCCCTTGCCATTGTCGTCGTCGTCATCACCCACACCATCATGTATATTTGTCATTATATACAATTATATAATTTTTACATTAAAATTTACTAAACGCTTTTACACTACTTTTCATACTTACAACACTTTTAACAATAAAGTTTATCAAACGTTCATCTGCTTTATTTTGCAGCTGATTATTCTTAAAGTACAACATAAGCAGTTAAAAATAAAATAAAATAAACACACAACAATCTCAAACTGACCCTAAATGACCAATTTAGTACTTATTAGATGAGACTTGTTGACACAATATAGTAGATTTTGTTTTTCATAACTCAAGTTCTACCATTTAGTACTACAGTTTAGTAGTATTCTTATTCACTTGTAAAAAAGAGGTCTTAGGTTCGATTCTCGTTAGAGACAAATTTGAACCAAATTATTACTAGATCATTGTAAGCCTTAACACACTCTCACACCACCTTAGTGTAAATAATATTGTTTGTTAAAAAAAAAAGTTCAAGTTCTAGTATTTATAAGTTCATCAAACAATGATCCAGACATTAATCTAATTTAATTGAATAGTCTAATTCAAGTCGAGCCACCAAAGATGAATCGAATAAGTTCTACTCACAACTAATTTATTTTTTGCTAAACTCTAGAAACTGACATTGATTTCTTGATTAAAATACCTAGAATCAAGTGAACCGTCCAATCCGCTCTCATTTAAACGGTGAGCTGCTTTGAGAATATGTTGAAGAAGATGATGTAGACATGAAGCCTTTGAAGGGCAAGGAAAGCACAGAAATTGTCAAGATTTCAAGATTTCAAGATTTCTATTCAACAGCCATATATCCTAATCCGATATCGATATGGACAAAAGAAGAAGAGACCATAAGAAAAGTGGAGGATTATTAAATGTTTGAAAGGTCCATGGGCGCCGCCATTAACCTACCCCCTACAGGTTATATATGTTAGAAAGATTAAATTAGAAATTAAATTTACAAATTAAATAATGTGTCATTTATAAAAATAAATACTTTTGTTAATGTGTAAGTAAATAAATCAATCATCAACTTGTATGTCCTTTAAGTTTCAAAATTTTATTTATAAATTTAGTTTTCCTAACATTACTCGTTATATATCGGTGAGAAGAGATCATCTCTGAATCCCTTCTACCAAGGCCACCAGATCAAGTGATCAGAGCCTTTGAAATTTATCCAACGGTAAAAATTATTATAATTTTTAAGAAATCAAAATAGATGGACCGTTTGATGAAATTTCAAAAATTCGGATCACTTGATCCGATGACTTTGGCCGGATCTCTACCCTGTAGGTTGTATCTGCCCTGTGGGTCGGTCTCAGCAGGTCTAATTTTGTCGCCACCTGCACCATTGGCCACAACAAATCTTAGACCTTTAATTGGACATATATGCAATAATTTAATTTGGCAAACACCTAAAATTTCAACTATTGTGAATAAAAGTCACGTCCTTAATTTGTTCGTGCGTGCTCAACTTTGTCACACAAACGACAAGAAAAATTAGGAAGTGCACGAGTAGGTTTTCTTCTTTTAGAGTAAATGAGTCGGAAGGTTTTCAGTCTTGAAAGTATTAAGATATTATTATTAATGAATTGTGTATTTAGGCGTGCATAAATGATGTCAATTGTGGATGTAAATTCATAATTTAAACTATATATTGATAAAGGCTTATTATATTAACATCCTATAAATTATTAAATAAACATCACATACTTAAAACACCCAACATTTGTTTTTTCAATTAAAAATTATCTTAAAACATCACACATGCTTCCCCATAATATCCTCACACCCCATGTTTTCAATATACATTTTACATTTTCTACATGCACCTCACATTTCTCAAATCTTATAAAGCTTTTAATTTGGACAAAAATGCCGACTGGAATTTTGGCAAAAGATGACGCCTAGGATTTAAAGCATATGTGGCTTGTTTTCAATTCCACCATTAAAACTCATGTCGTATGTTTTTAATATTTGGTGGTAGTTTTAGGTGTTTAATTCTTCATGTAATCTATGTGATCGATAAAGATGAATACGAACATAGAAGCTTGAATAGCATAGCAAAAGCAAGATTAAATAAGTATCGATGTCGTCAAAATTACTAAAACAATAAAAAATATGAAGTCTTACCTCATGTGAAACTTATGAAACATTGGTTTCGTATTTCATTCGTCAAAAATAATTTTTCTCAATCAACATATTTGTTGTTTTATTGATTAGGGTTTTGTTCAACAATGGAAAGTCAGAGGGGTTTTGAGAGTTAAAGAAGATAAATAATGCGTTAAAAATGATTTAAGATGTATTTAAATATTTTTTTAAAACCTAATAAGATCAAAATTGATATTGCATAGTAAGATAAATAAGTTATTTAATATTAAATTTTAATGTGGGATACATTTAATCTTTTGTGGGGGTGCTAATATAAAAAGCCTTGATAAAACTCTCTTTGTTAACTGAAAACGGTGAAAAGACTATTGACTCTTCTATCACAAAAAGAAAAACATGGGTAATAATGTAATTTTAGAAAACCAAAATTTACTTTTATTTTATTTTATATTTATTTAAGCCTTACCCACATGTGATTTCATCTAATATTAAAAAAAAAATTAAAGACAAAAACTTCTTTCCCCACTCCCACCCCCATAGTTCTGTCCCTCTCTCTCATTCTCATTTTAAAAACGAAAACAAAATTTGTTCACACATTCAAAGTATATTAAGCAAACACATTCATCTGTGATGTTAGTAGCTTCAGTCATCAAAATCGATATACCTCAACAGTCGCCAGTCAATCACGTCTGCAAGAATTTAGTGTTCATTAATTGATTATGGTTGAAGTAGGGCACATTTATGTGCCCGTGAATGACTATCACTTGAAATCAAAAGAAAATTAATAAGAAGGTCTTGAAAATTTTGAGTTTTAATAAAAATGACAAAAATGTGTTGTAAATGAATAGCACGAGTGATTTTTTTAGAGTAAAAATTTTATTTTTGTTAAAAGTGAATAGCACCAGAAATATTTTATTAAAACTCCCGAAAACCAATGTACATTAATAGTCGACAATTCTTCACCTGCGTCCGCAAGAGTCCCGCCGACATCATTTCAACGACAAACAGATTTCCACACCACCTCAGAATTGTCCAACGACAAGGATCAATGGCTTAAAAGCAAGTCGTTCAAGTGGTTTTACGGTGCTACCCGAATCAAATAGTTTTATAATTGCAAAAACAAGGTGATCAAGTTGCACTTTCGGTTCAAACACCATGTTTTTGGAGGTGTGGAAAAAGAATAAAGCATGAGACAAATTGGCGGCCGTTTGTAGTGCCGCCCTTGGATTCAGATCATTTGACAACAAGATAATAAAAACGTGTTCAATTCACTTGGTCGCTTGAGCCATTTTCTGCCCAGTGCTTACAGCCTATTAGGACAAAGAAATCACAACCGTTTAAAGTAACTGAATTGTAGGATGTGATGGGATGTTTATAAGGCAGGTTCTTCTAGGGTTCACACCCAAAGACCAAGTCTTTGCTAATTAATCAAGGATTATGAGATAATCATTACGGGCTTGTCCAGTGGTTGGAGACTATTTTCTTTGGATTCTAGTATTTGTAGATAATATTGCTAATTAATCAAGGATTAAGAGATAATCATTACTGGTTGGTCTAGTGGTTGGGGACAAATTTCAGGCCTGTATTCCACACAGCACGTCTTCGGTTCAATTCTTTTCGCTAGTGAATCGTATGGTGGTGGCCAAAGGAAGGCTTACATGCTTATGTGAGTCTTTTCGGTCTCTATAAAAGTAAACTGCCGATGCGAAATCACCAATTGATCTCTTTTTGAAAAGAAACAAAAAAGATTAATTAAAGATCATGCCCCCACTAACTTTAGAGTTGAAAAAGGCCATCTATTTCTAAAGTAAACCCTTTTAAATTTAAAGGTCATGGTCTATTGATCGCTTGTTGACAAAACAGTAAAAATTTACGACTGCTTTGTTTTATTTTTATTTAATATGTTAGAATAGAAATTTAAACTGTAGTGTGAAAATAAACATATTGTGGAGGTTGCTGTTGTAATTTTAATTGTAGTTTATTCTTTTGGTATCGAAAAAAAATTGTACAGTTAATTGACTTAACCATAAATCTCAGAGATAAATTCAATAATTTTGAGAATGTTTGCAACTTCAGCGGCTGATAGGATTGTAGTCAAATACATAAATAAAATAATGAATGAATTCAGCAAAATAATAATTTTGTCCTCCACAATTTTTTATTGAAAAAAAAAAAGTGGAGACAATAAAAGTTCAACGAAAAATTTAAAAAAAAAAAAAAGGAGGTTGGGCCAGCCACCACTTA